AGATCTTTGGTTTTGTTTGAGGACAAACAAAGGTTTAAGTTTGGAGGAGTTGATAACACCTGATTTTGACAACTTTTATAGATCATTTTCAATATCTTATGCAAGTATTTTCACTCAGTTTTAAAGGTTTTATAAGTGTTTTTCATGTTTTGGAGTTTTAAAAGGCTTTTCAGGAAACATGGAGCTTTGGAGTGCATTTTGGAGCAAAAGTACATTTTTGGATAAATTCAGACCGTCAGACGTTTGGCAACTAAAGAAGACCTTCTCACCGTCTGATCATTCCCAAATTTTGAGATATTATAGAGGAGACAACCAGCTTTCCAACACAGTTAGAATCAAAGCAATCCAACGGTTAAATCTCCAGATATCATCAATGCACTGAAGACTGAATAACATAAGTCCAGTCAAGGACGGGATCTTCCACCCGCGGCCAGACATGTTCCCACCGCGCCTCAAGAGGTTTCACCCCCAGTGGACTTAATTCCGAACATCAGGAGCCCATCTAAGGCCCCAGACACTTCCTGCACCCATTTTACAAGTCCTAGACGCCCAAACTTGAAGAAAATCCTTGCCTAAATTCCTTGTGTTTTAGAACATGAGCCCTAAAGATGAACCTTAATTCCAGCGCCATTTTTCTTATTGCTTTCAACCGATTTTTATTTCCATCTTTTCAATTCTCTGCTTAATTAGATTTAGTGAGAAACCAAAACCCATTTTTATTAGATTAGGTCTAGGATTGTTTTTTAGCATCAGTTAGAAGTCTTAACAACAAAAATCCCTGTGGATTCGATCCCTAAGTACTACTGCGTTTGCTGTGCACTTGCAGTTTGTCTAGGGTAAAACTTGTGTTGCCCACTGCACCCACATCACCAGCCCATGTAAAACCGTTGCCTGAGCTTGGAAGTTCCGACATTTCACAACTCCTTAGCATATCCGCAAAAGCCTTAAAGGAAGCATCACTCCTTCTAGGACCTCCCATCTTCTCCTCATTGTGCAGGATTTCATTGAAATCTCCTAACATACACCAGATTTCCTTCCTCTAAGCTCCAATACGCATCAGACGTTCCCAAACATGAGCTCTACCTTTCACCACTGAATCTCCGTAAACAAAAGAAACAAAAAATTGAGTAGAACCAAACTGTACACTAATGTCAATAAGGTTTTTGTCCGCAAACTCCACTATTACCGACACACTACTCTTCCAAAACAAAGCTAAACCTCCACTCCAACCAATAGGATCCACCGTAAAAACCCTGTAATACCCCATCCAAACTTGTAAGTAAACGACACCATTTCTACACTTCTTTGTCTTCATGAGAAATAACATCTCAAGGAATTTTTTTAACGCATCTCCTTGAGACGGGGATTTGTCAAGTCCTGTGCCCGTCCCAAGCCTTGATAATTCTAGATTATAATGCTCATCAAGCTTTCGGTAGTCGCTCATTCGGGACCACCTCATTCTCGATTCGCCAAGCCATTTTTGTTACTTCCTTCTCTCCCTCCTCGGTTTTTCTTTTCTGTGGGGAAGCTCCCACAGTTGCAACTAATTTCTTGGATGAAACTCCTTTCATCTTTGCATTGTTGGTTTTCGTGTACCTCCTCTTAGTGGTGGTGTACCTCCTTCTCTGTTGGCGTTTGGTTGACACTGAGCTAGATGAACTGGCTTCCGATGATCCAAAATTAAAACCAGTAGAACATGATCAGAACAGAGAGTTATCAGCATTAGTATTATCAGCTTCCCTCTCAGAACAGATCTCATCTGCTTTAGCAGCTCTCCACATTGCGATTCCTGCATTTATTGCTGCTCCTATCAATTTTCCCTCTGTATGTGATGGTGACTTGTGTTCCAAGCTTATTTTCTCTTCAAACTCAAACACCGGTCCCTTTTCTTTATCAATATCCGAAGAAATAATTGGGCTTCTTCAAGTCTGAGGATGGAATTCTGGCTTCGTCGATCATCCTTCAGCTCCATGATTGATTTTCTGACATTTTCCTCCCTGATCCTTCTTTCATCACCCTCTGCAACACCTATATAGGTTCGCATCTCCACAAACACCTCATGATTTATCTTTTTTCTTCCTTAAATTAAGGTCTGTACTGATGGGCTTGCGGGCCTAGGGTTGTTTTTTAACAAGCCCGTTGGTCCTCCAAAAGTTTTAAATTTATAAAACCCTAGTGTCTGCAAGTGCACAGATGTACGTTGTAGGACTTAGGGTGTCGATCCACAGGGAGGATGTCTAATCTGCGAGAAACAACAAATTGGGAAGTAAGCAAACTCATAAACCAATAAAAGTTTCGGGGTTTTTGGTTAAGATCCTAAACTAAACCTAATCTAATATTCACAAGAAATGCAATGCATGATGAATTGTTAAAAGAACATCTAAAGCATATCGACTCAAACTAAAGACTCTTAAACTCATAGGTGGCGATTTAGACTTCTCCGGTTTACTCTAATCAATGTATGATGGCATTTCCAATTAGCTTCCGGACTATTTATTTTCATCTGTTTCTGGAAATCTGCTTTGAAAAGAAATAGACACATGTATGATTAACCAACTGTCGTCACTTTAATCAACTTATCACTTAGATCTAGCAATTAACTCTCGCTCTCATGCTAAACTTAAGATCATTCATTAGACATTGAATTCATCTGTTCACATCTTCTTTATAAGTAGCTTTCGACTCCTATAGCGACTATGTTCTTCTGAAGCTAGGTATGGATAATCTGATACAGCACTGTCGTGGCTCTGATCGATCCTAGGCTCAGAGAGTAGGTCATGAGTCTACTCTCATGCTTTATGAACAACTTAGAAGAGATGAGATCCAGAATATGGCTAAGAACAATAGAAATCCTTATCGATATATATGCTTGTCGATATCTTCAAACAACTTGATTCTCTGGGACTAACCTACATGATGCAATGAATGATAAAAGACATAAAATAATGCAAAAGAATGAAACAGAAAAGTTAGTAAGATAAAAAGGAGAAAGAACAATAGATCTAGGGAAGAATCCCCATTTCCATCGCCTAACCCTAGAAAAACAAAGTTTGGTGGCTCAAAATCTCATTACAGGAGCACACACCCGTTTAGGGCTGCTAAACAATGTATTTATAGGTCCTAAGGTCTTCCAGGTCTCATTTAGGGCTTCTCTGAAGAGAAATGGCGAAGTGGGCTTTGATGTTGGGCCTTCTGGCTCGTCCTAAGGTCCATCGGGGGTGAGAGTCTTCCAAGGCAGGTAAAACATGTCTTCGGGAACTGGTGAACTGGGTCAACTTGTTTTCCATGTATCTTTTGATTGCACCGTTGGATCTTTGTGATGTAAAGTGCTATGGAAAGGTAGTTGTCTCCTATTTATTGTCTCCAAATTTAAGCTGGATCAGACGGTAATAAAGACTTCATTTCAGGCTGAACTTCTGACGGTCTGACTCTGAGCTAAAAATGTGGATTTCTTCCATTTTGCCATCATATTCCCTTAGTTTCCTGAAAAGAGCCTTGAAACTACAAATACATGAAAATCATAATAAAATTTCCTAAAAAAGTAAAACTTTTGAAAAAGCATTTGAAATCAATGGTGAAAAGTGATCAAAATAAGGTGTTATCAACTCCCCCAGACTTAAGACTTTGTTTGTCCTCAAACAAAACAAGATCAAATCTGGAAAAATATCATTCAACAAAAATGAGAGGGAACTCAAAAATATCAGCAACCATACTTCTAGACCTTAATTATGGACAATGCATCAATCAGATCAAGTCTAGAAAATTCTCACCAAAATACAAACATAACTAGTCCGTTAATCCATCATCCACACACTTAGAATTAACTTCCAGTCAACTAGCTCTTAACATTCATTAAAGGTTTAAGTGGTTCTCATAAAAAGGATATTAAACAAGGCATTCAAGGTTACGTATCAAAAAGGCTTTTTGATGGTAAGGCTGATGTGTTTAGGGTAACCTTTTTCTGGAGAGATAGGACATTATGAAAAAAAGCAAGAAATGATGGAACTGTAAATGCCCCCACAGTTTCAGTCACATTCTTCTTGCTTTAAGATTTCTGATCTCCTTTCTTCAGGTTCTCCTTATAGTTCCCCCAGACTTGGATTTTTGTCCAGGTTGTGAATCCATAACTCCTTTAGTGGATACCTAATGCCTTGGCTCAAGTGATTTCGGCTCCTAAGACTCTTTAGGCTATTAGTTTCCTTTTCTTTCTTTCTTTTTTCTTATTTTTCGATTTCTGGCACACTCCCTTCTGGTCTCTTTCGGTCTTTCTCTTCAGTGACTGAAAACTATGTTGTTCCTCCCTCTCCGGCGTTTTTGAACATATCTGTCGATATAAAATTAAGAGAGAATGCATGAGATTTGAACATGAAGGTTTGGGTTAAGGCTGTGGTACCAGCTAAAAATGAACTGGCCATCTAGGACAACAAAGAGTGGTGACAATAAGGTACGGATGTCCTAGATGTATATCATGATGCCTTCTTAAAACCATTGATGAGAAAATTAGATGTCAAGATTAAGTCCAAGTAAAATGAGCTAGTATATCCTGTCAGAAAATATCTTCATGAATAGAAGTCCTCTGGTGGGATTTCGTAGTGTAAGTACTTTAGCTACCGCCTAGTCTAATACTAAACCTTGAAAGAGCTTTCATGAGTGATTGGTGTCGAAGCAAACAGGTTGGTTATCATCATCGATTTTGTCACTATTCCCTCAAAATTTATTTGACCTTTGAAAACTATTTTTGAAAGTCAAAAGACTTTTGAAAATTTTTAAGAAAATCGAAAAAAATGAAAAATTTTAAAGAAAATGCAGAATGCAAAGGCTCATGCAAGAAAAGGTGGTTAGAAAGGGATGAAATCCTCCTCCATAGTTAAATCACACTGCCCCCAGTATAAAATAAATTAGGCAAGGATGAGAAATATAGTATGTGAAAAATTAAAAATATTAAGGAAAAGAAAACTTACCTGGTGTTGGTGATGGATTGTGAGGTGGTTGTGGTCGTGATGCTTGATCAAACTTGGATGCTAGGGATCCAAAACAGATTTGGTCAAGGTGGTATGGAAGTGGCCAAGGATGGAAAGGAAGTGGCCAAGGTGAATGAAGGAGGCCAAGGTGGAATGGAGGTGGCCAAGGTGGAGTGGAGGTGGCCAAGGTGGAATGGAGGTGGCCAAGGTGAATGGAGGTGGCCAAGGTGGCCGGCTGTGCTGGTCGCGGGTCGGCCGCGGGCCAGACCTTCTTGGCCGCGGTAAAACGCCTGCTGGCCGTGGTAAAACGCCTGCTGGCCGCGGCTGAACCTCGCGGCCAGCTCCTTTTCTTCTCTTTTTTTTTTATACCATACTAAGGCCTGTCTAAAATAAAAGAAACAAAACTTTAATTAAAAAAAAAAAGCTAAACCAAAAACAAATAAGTACCTAAACTGGGTTGCCTCCCATCAAGCGCTTGGTTTATAGTCCTTAGCTAGACTTTGCAAAGAAAAAGACTTAGTTTAAATAGGATCTTGTCCTAAGACAAGTACTCTTCGCAATCCTCATGTTCTGTCTTGCAGGTTCTTCATCACTCCAGAGTTCTTCTAGTTCAAATGCATGGGCTTTAAGTTCTCCCCTTTTGCTCTTAAGTGGTATTGCTTCATAGAAGATGTCCTTGTCGATATTGGCAAAAGAAACTCGCCTATTGGGCCAATCCATGATGGCTCCAGAAGTTGCTAAGAAAGGCCATCCAAGAATATCTGGATAAGTCATATTTGGTCTTCACTATGTATAGATCGACAGGTGCAATGCAATCTCCAATCCTTAGAGGAATGTCTCGGGTTATCCTCTTGGTGTTGCACTTGTTGCACTTGAATCATATGCTAAGCTAATCTTTGTCCTGGTGCTTGAAATGTGCTTAATGCCAAGTCTCAAAGCAGTTGCTTTGGACATCATGTTAATGCAAGCTCCAGAATCACAAAGAATATTGAGGAATCTTTCACCTCTAATGTCACGAGAGATAAGAAATTGACATTTGTCTTGAACTTTATGAAAATTCGAACTGGTTTACCTTCTTGGGCGTGTGTGAACAAGTCTTTCATCTCTTGAATTGACTCTTTGCTGTCACAAAAGAAGTGGCTTATCATGTAGTCTCTACATGCTTTGGCAAACAAAATTCCTTATGGCAGGGTCTGAACTACTGGATTGAACTCTTCAAGTGCTTCTTTGCTGATCTTGTTTGTGTAGTCACTGGCTTCTTGGGGATCTTTGGGGATCTTGTTTGCTGCATCAGGTGATGATCTAGGAAAAGATAGATACCTGGCTCTTCTGAAATATGTAGAGATGTTTTCCTTAGTCTCCTTGCTGTATCTGAAAAAGACTTGAAGGCAGCCTTGCTTCCAGGTGTCATCAAACCCGAGATAGAGAGGAATGGACTTCACAAACATGTCATCAAGCCCAAGCGCCAAAAACTTGATGGGCTTGCGGGCCTAGGGTTGTTTTTTAACAAGCCCGTTGGTCCTCCAAAAGTTTTAAATTTATAAAACCATAGTGTCTGCAAGTGCACAGATGTACGTTGTAGGACTTAGGGTGTCGATCCACAGGGAGGATGTCTAATCTGCGAGAAACAACAAACTGGGAAGTAAGCAAACTCATAAACCAATAAAAGTTTTGGGGTTATTGGTTAAGATCCTAAACTAAACCTAATCTAATATTCACAAGAAATGCAATGCATGATGAATTGTTAAAAAGAACATCTAAAGCATATCGACTCAAACTAAAGACTCTTAAACTCATAGGTGGCGATTTAGACTTCTCCGGTTTACTCTAATCAATGTATGATGGCATTTCCAATTAGCTTCTGGACGATTTATTTTCATCTGTTTCTGGAAATCTGCTTTGAAAAGAAATAGACACATGTATGATTAACCAACTGTCGTCACTTTAATCAACTAATCACTTAGATCTAGCAATTAACTCTCGCTCTCATGCTAAACTTAAGATCATGCATAAGACATTGAATTTATCTGTTCACATCTTCTTTATAAGTAGCTTTTGACTCCTATAGCGACTATATTCTTCTGAAGCTAGGTATGGATGATCAGATACAACACTCTCGTGGCTCTGATCGATCCTAGGCTCAGAGAGTAGGTCATGAGTCTACTCTCATGCTTTATGAACAACTCAGAAGAGATGAGATCCAGAATATGGCTAAGAACAATAGAAATCCTAATCGATATATATGCTTGTCGATATCTTCAAAAACTTGACTCTCTGGGGCTAATCTACATGATGCAATGTATGATAAAAGACATAGAAGAACGCAAAAGAATGAAACAGAAAAGTTAATAAGATAAAAAGGAGAAAGAACAATGGATCTAGGGAAGAATCCCCATCTCCATCGCCTAACCCTAGAAAAAAAAAGTTTGGTGGCTCAAAATCTCATTACAGGAGCACACACCCGTTTAGGGCTGCTAAACAATGTATTTATAGGTCCTAAGGTCTTCCAGGTCTCATTTAGGGCTTCTTTGAAGAGAAATGGCGAAGTGGGCTTTGATGTTGGGCCTTCTGGCTCGTCCTAAGGTCCACCAGGGGTGAGAGTCTTCCAAGGCAGGTAAAACATGTCTTCGGGAACTGGTGAACTGGGTCAACTTGTTTTCCATGTATCTTTTGATTGCACCGTTGGATCTTTGTGATGTAAAGTGCTATGGAAAGGTAGTTGTCTCCTATTTATTGTCTCCAAATTTAAGCTGGATCAGACGGTAATAAAGTCTTCATTTCAGGCTGAACTTCTGACGGTCTGAGTCTGAGCTAAAAATGTGGATTTCTTCCATTTTGCCATCATATTCCCTTAGTTTCCTGAAAAGAGCCTTGAAACTACAAATACATGAAAATCATAATAAAAGTTCCTAAAAAAAGTAAAACCTTTGAAAAAGCATTTGAAATCAATGGTGAAAAGTGATCAAAATAAGGTGTTATCAACTCCCCCAGACTTAAGACTTTGTTTGTCCTCAAACAAAACAAGATCAAATCTGGAAAAATATCATTCAACAAAAATGAGAGGGAACTCAAAAATATCAGCAACCATACTTCTAGACCTTAATTATGGACAATGCATCAAACAGATCAAGTCTAGAAAATTCTCACCAAAATACAAACATAACTAGTCCGTTAATCCATCATGCGAAAATCCACACACTTAGAATTAACTTCCAGTCAACTAGCTCTTAACATTCATTAAAGGTTTAAGTGGTTCTCATAAAAAGGATATTAAACAAGGCATTCAAGGTTACGTATCAAAAAGGCTTTTTAATGGTAAGGCTGATGTGTTTAGGGTAACCTTTTTCTGGAGAGATAGGACATTATGAAAAAAAGCAAGAAATGATGGAACTGTAAATGCCCCCACAGTTTCAGTCACATTCGTCTTGCTTTAAGATTTCTGATCTCCTTTCTTCAGGTTCTCCTTATAGTTCCCCCAGACTTGGATTTTTGTCCAGGTTGTGAATCCATAACTCCTTTAGTGGATACCTAATGCCTTGGCTCAAGTGATTTCGGCTCCTAAGACTCTCTAGGCTATTAGTTTCCTTTTCTTTCTTTCTTTTTTCTTATTTTTCGATTTCTGGCACACTCCCTTCTGGTCTCTTTCGGTCTTTCTCTTCAGTGACTGAAAACTATGTTGTTCCTCCCTCTCCGGCGTTTTTGAACATATCTGTCGATATAAAATTAAGAGAGAATGCATGAGGTTTGAACATGAAGGTTTGGGTTAAGGCTGTGGTACCAGCTAAAAATGAACTGGCCATCTAGGACAACAAAGAGTGGTGACAATAAGGTACGGATGTCCTAGATGTATATCATGATGCCTTCTTAAAACCATTGATGAGAAAATTAGATGTCAAGATTAAGTCCAAGTAAAATGAGCTAGTATATCCTGTCAGAAAATATCTTCATGAATAGAAGTCCTCTGGTGGGATTTCGTAGTGTAAGTACTTTAGCTACCGCCTAGTCTAATACTAAACCTTGAAAGAGCTTTCATGAGTGATTGGTGTCGAAGCAAACAGGTTGGTTATCATCATCGATTTTGTCACTATTCCCTCAAAATTTATTTGACCATTGAAAACTATTTTTGAAAGTCAAAAGACTTTTGAAAATTTTTAAGAAAATCGAAAAAAATGAAAAATTTTAAAGAAAATGCAGAATGCAAAGGCTCATGCAAGAAAAGGTGGTTAGAAAGGGATGAAATCCTCCTCCATAGTTAAATCACACTGCCCCCAGTATAAAATAAATTAGGCAAGGATGAGAAATATAGTATGTGAAAAATTAAAAATATTAAGGAAAAGAAAACTTACCTGGTGTTGGTGATGGATTGTGAGGTGGTTGTGGTCGTGATGCTTGATCAAACTTGGATGCTAGGGATCCAAAACAGATTTGGTCAAGGTGGTATGGAAGTGGCCAAGGATGGAAAGGAAGTGGCCAAGGTGAATGGAGGAGGCCAAGGTGGAATGGAGGTGGCCAAGGTGGAGTGGAGGTGGCCAAGGTGGAATGGAGGTGGCCAAGGTGAATGGAGGTGGCCAAGGTGGCCGGCTGTGCTGGTCGCGGGTCGGCCGCGGGCCAGACCTTCTTGGCCGCGGTAAAACGCCTGCTGGCCGTGGTAAAACGCCTGCTGGCCGCGGCTGAACCTCGCGGCCAGCTCCTTTTCTTCTCTTTTTTTTTTATACCATACTAAGGCCTGTCTAAAATAAAAGAAACAAAACTTTAATAAAAAAAAAAAAGCTAAACCAAAAACAAATAAGTACCTAAACTGGGTTGCCTCCCATCAAGCGCTTGGTTTATAGTCCTTAGCTAGACTTTGCAAAGAAAAAGACTTAGTTTAAATAGGATCTTGTCCTAAGACAAGTACTCTTCGAAATTCTCATGTTCTGTCTTGCAGGTTCTTCATCACTCCAGAGTTCTTCTAGTTCAAATGCATGGGCTTTAAGTTCTCCCTTTTTGCTCTTAAGTGGTATTGCTTCATAGAAGATGTCCTTGTCGATATTGGCAAAAGAAACTCGCCTATTGGGCCAATCCATGATGGCTCCAGAAGTTGCTAAGAAAGGCCATCCAAGAATATCTGGATAAGTCATATTTGGTCTTCACTATGTATAGATCGACAGGTGCAATGCAATCTCCAATCCTTAGAGGAATGTCTCGGGTTATCCTCTTGGTGTTGCACTTGTTGCACTTGAATCATATGCTAAGCTAATCTTTGTCCTGGTGCTTGAAATGTGCTTAATGCCAAGTCTCAAAGCAGTTGCTTTGGACATCATGTTAATGCAAGCTCTAGAATCACAAAGAATATTGAGGAATCTTTCACCTCTAATGTCGAGAGATAAGAAATTGACATTTGTCTTGAACTTTATGAAAATTCGAACTGGTCTACCTTCTTGGGCGTGTGTGAACAAGTCTTTCATCTCTTGAATTGACTCTTTGCTGTCACAAAAGAAGTGGCCTATCATGTAGTCTCTACATGCTTTGGCAAACAAAATTCCTTATGGCAGGGTCTGAACTACTGGATTGAACTCTTCAAGTGCTTCTTTGCTGATCTTGTTTGTGTAGTCACTGGCTTCTTGGGGATCTTTGGGGATCTTGTTTGCTGCATCAGGTGATGATCTAGGAAAAGATAGATACCTGGCTCTTCTGAAATATGTAGAGATGTTTTCCTTAGTCTCCTTGCTGTATCTGAAAAAGACTTGAAGGCAGCCTTGCTTCCAGGTGTCATCAAACCCGAGATAGAGAGGAATGGACTTCACAAACATGTCATCAAGCCCAGGCGCCAAAAACTTGATGGGTTTGCGGGCCTAGGGTTGTTTTTTAACAAGCCCGTTGGTCCTCCAAAAGTTTTAAATTTATAAAACCATAGTGTCTGCAAGTGCACAGATGTACGTTGTAGGACTTAGGGTGTCGATCCACAGGGAGGATGTCTAATCTGCGAGAAACAACAAACTGGGAAGTAAGCAAACTCATAAACCAATAAAAGTTTTGGGGTTATTGGTTAAGATCCTAAACTAAACCTAATCTAATATTCACAAGAAATGCAATGCATGATGAATTGTTAAAAAGAACATCTAAAGCATATCGACTCAAACTAAAGACTCTTAAACTCATAGGTGGCGATTTAGACTTCTCCGGTTTACTCTAATCAATGTATGATGGCATTTCCAATTAGCTTCTGGACGATTTATTTTCATCTGTTTCTGGAAATCTGCTTTGAAAAGAAATAGACACATGTATGATTAACCAACTGTCGTCACTTTAATCAACTAATCACTTAGATCTAGCAATTAACTCTCGCTCTCATGCTAAACTTAAGATCATGCATAAGACATTGAATTTATTTGTTCACATCTTCTTTATAAGTAGCTTTTGACTCCTATAGCGACTATGTTCTTCTGAAGCTAGGTATGGATGATCAGATACAACACTCTCGTGGCTCTGATCGATCCTAGGCTCAGAGAGTAGGTCATGAGTCTACTCTCATGCTTTATGAACAACTCAGAAGAGATGAGATCCAGAATATGGCTAAGAACAATAGAAATCCTAATCGATATATATGCTTGTCGATATCTTCAAAAACTTGACTCTCTGGGGCTAATTTACATGATGCAATGTATGATAAAAGACATAGAAGAACGCAAAAGAATGAAACAGAAAAGTTAATAAGATAAAAAGGAGAAAGAACAATGGATCTGGGGAAGAATCCCCATCTCCATCGCCTAACCCTAGAAAAAAAAAGTTTGGTGGCTCAAAATCTCATTACAGGAGCACACACCCGTTTAGGGCTGCTAAACAATGTATTTATAGGTCCTAAGGTCTTCCAGGTCTCATTTAGGGCTTCTTTGAAGAGAAATGGCGAAGTGGGCTTTGATGTTGGGCCTTCTGGCTCGTCCTAAGGTCCACCAGGGGTGAGAGTCTTCCAAGGCAGGTAAAACATGTCTTCGGGAACTGGTGAACTGGGTCAACTTGTTTTCCATGTATCTTTTGATTGCACCGTTGGATCTTTGTGATGTAAAGTGCTATGGAAAGGTAGTTGTCTCCTATTTATTGTCTCCAAATTTAAGCTGGATCAGACGGTAATAAAGTCTTCATTTCAGGCTGAACTTCTGACGGTCTGACTCTGAGCTAAAAATGTGGATTTCTTCCATTTTGCCATCATATTCCCTTAGTTTCCTGAAAAGAGCCTTGAAACTACAAATACATGAAAATCATAATAAAAGTTCCTAAAAAAAGTAAAACCTTTGAAAAAGCATTTGAAATCAATGGTGAAAAGTGATCAAAATAAGGTGTTATCAACTCCCCCAGACTTAAGACTTTGTTTGTCCTCAAACAAAACAAGATCAAATCTGGAAAAATATCATTCAACAAAAATGAGAGGGAACTCAAAAATATCAGCAACCATACTTCTAGACCTTAATTATGGACAATGCATCAATCAGATCAAGTGTAGAAAATTCTCACCAAAATACAAACATAACTAGTCCGTTAATCCATCATGCGAAAATCCACACACTTAGAATTAACTTCCAGTCAACTAGCTCTTAACATTCATTAAAGGTTTAAGTGGTTCTCATAAAAAGGATATTAAACAAGGCATTCAAGGTTACGTATCAAAAAGGCTTTTTAATGGTAAGGCTGATGTGTTTAGGGTAACCTTTTTCTGGAGAGATAGGACATTATGAAAAAAAGCAAGAAATGATGGAACTGTAAATGCCCCCACAGTTTCAGTCACATTCTTCTTGCTTTAAGATTTCTGATCTCCTTTCTTCAGGTTCTCCTTATAGTTCCCCCAGACTTGGATTTTTGTCCAGGTTGTGAATCCATAACTCCTTTAGTGGATACCTAATGCCTTGGCTCAAGTGATTTCGGCTCCTAAGACTCTCTAGGCTATTAGTTTCCTTTCCTTTCTTTCTTTTTTCTTATTTTTCGATTTATGGCACACTCCCTTCTGGTCTCTTTCGGTCTTTCTCTTCAGTGACTGAAAACTATGTTGTTCCTCCCTCTCCGGCGTTTTTGAACATATCTGTCGATATAAAATTAAGAGAGAATGCATGAGGTTTGAACATGAAGGTTTGGGTTAAGGCTGTGGTACCAGCTAAAAATGAACTGGCCATCTAGGACAACAAAGAGTGGTGACAATAAGGTACGGATGTCCTAGATGTATATCATGATGCCTTCTTAAAACCATTGATGAGAAAATTAGATGTCAAGATTAAGTCCAAGTAAAATGAGCTAGTATATCCTGTCAGAAAATATCTTCATGAATAGAAGTCCTCCGGTGGGATTTCGTAGTGTAAGTACTCTAGCTACCGCCTAGTCTAATACTAAACCTGGAAAGAGCTTTCATGAGTGATTGGTGTCGAAGCAAACAGGTTGGTTATCATCATCGATTTTGTCACTATTCCCTCAAAATATATTTGACCTTTGAAAACACTTTTTGAAAGTCAAAAGACTTTTGAAAATTTTTAAGAAAATCGAAAAAAATGAAAAATTTTAACGAAAATGCAGAATGCTAAGGCTCATGCAAGAAAAGGTGGATAGAAAGGGATGAAATCCTCCTCCATAGTTAAATCACACTGCCCCCAGTATGAAATAAATTAGGCAAGGATGAGAAATATAGTATGTGAAAAATTAAAAAGATTAAGGAAAAGGAAACTTACCTGGTGTTGGTGATGGATTGTGAGGTGGTTGTGGTCGTGATGCTTGATCAAACTTGGATGCTAGGGATCCAAAACAGATTTGGTCAAGGTGGTATGGAAGTGGCCAAGGATGGAAAGGAAGTGGCCAAGGTGAATGGAGGAGGCCAAGGTGGAATGGAGGTGGCCAAGGTGGAGTGGAGGTGGCCAAGGTGGAATGGAGGTGGCCAAGGTGGAATGGAGGTGGCCAAGGTGGCCGGCTGTGCTGGTCGCGGGTCGGCCGCGGGCCAGACCTTCTTGGCCGCGGTAAAACGCCTGCTGGCCGTGGTAAAACGCCTGCTGGCCGCGGCTGAACCTCGCGGCCAGCTCCTTTTCTTCTCTTTTTTTTTATACCATACTAAGGCCTGTCTAAAATAAAAGAATCAAAACTTTAATAAAAAAAAAAGCTGAACCAAAAACAAATAAGTACCTAAAATTGGTTGCCTCCCATCAAGCGCTTGTTTTATAGTCCTTAGCTAGACTTTGCAAAGAAAAAGACTTAGTTCAAATAGGATCTTGTCCTAAGACAAGTACTCTTCGAAATCCTCATGTTCTGTCTTGCAGGTTCTTCATCACTCCAGAGTTCTTCTGGTTCAAATGCATGGGCTTTAAGTTCTCCCCTTTTGCTCTTAAGTGGTGTAGCTTCATAGAAGATGTCCTTGTCGATATTGGCAAAAGAAACTCGCCTGTTGGGCCAATCCATGATGGCTCCAGAAGTTGCTAAGAAAGGCCATCCAAGAATATCTGGATAAGAGTCATCTTTGGTCTTCACTATGTATAGATCGACAGGTGCAATGCAATCTCCAATCCTTAGAGGAATGTCTCGGGCTATCCCTCTTGGTGTTGCACTTGTTGCACTTGAATCATCTGCTAAGCTAATCTTTGTCTGGTGCTTGAAATGTGCTTAATGCCAAGTCTCAAAGCAGTTGCTTTGGACATCATGTTAATGCAAGCTCCAGAATCACAAAGAATATTGAGGAATCTTTCACCTCTAATGTCACGAGAGATAAGAAATTGACATTTGTCTTGAACTTTATACAAATTCGAACTGGTCTACCTTCTTGGGCGTGTGTGAACAAGTCTTTCATCTCTTGGATTGACTCTTTGCTGTCACAAAATAAGTGGCCTATCATGTAGTCTCTACATGCTTTGGCAAACGAAATTCCTTATGGCAGGGTCTGAACTACGTGATTGAACTCTTCAAGTGCTTCTTTGCTGATCTTGTTTGTGTAGTCACTGGCTTCTTGGGGATCTTTGGGGATCTTGTTTGCTGCTTCAGGTGATGATCTAGGAAAAGATAGATACCTGGCTCTTCTGAAATATGTAGAGATGTTTTCCTTAGTCTCCTTGCTGTATCTGAAAAAGACTTGAAGGCAGCCTTGCTTCCAGGTGTCATCAAACCCGAGATAGAGAGGAATGGACTTCACAAACTTGTCATCAAGCCCAGGCGCCAAAAACTTGATGGGCTTGCGGGCCTAGGGTTGTTTTTTAACAAGCCTGTTGGTCCTCCAAAAGTTTTAAATTTATAAAACCCTAGTGTCTGCAAGTGCACAGATGTACGTTGTAGGGTGTCGATCCACAAGGAGGATGTCTAATCTGCGAGAAACAACAAACTGGGAAGTAGGCAAACTCATAAACCAATAAAAGTTTTGGGGTTTTTGGTTAAGATCCTAAACTAAATCTAATCTAATATTCACAAGAAATGTAATGCAGGATGAATTCTTAAAAGAACATCTAAAGCATATCGACTCAAACTAAAGACTCTTAAACTCATAAGTGGGGATTTAGACTTCTCTGATGTAGGGCTTCTCAGAAGAGAAATGGTGAAGTGGGCTTTGATGTTGGGCCTTCTGGCTCGTTCTAAGGTCCACCGGGGGTGAGAGTCTTCCAAGGCAGGTAAAACATGTGTTTCCCACGGGTGAGAGTTTTCGGGGACTGGTGAACTGGGTCAACTTGTTCTCCCTGTATCTTTTGATTGCACCGTTGGATCTTTGTGATGTAAAGTGCTATGGAAATCTAGTCGTCTCCGCTTGATTGTCTCCAAATTTGAGCTGGATCAGACGGGTGAGGAAGAATTTATTTGAGGCTGAACTTATGACGGTCTGACTCTGAGCTAAAAATGTGGATTTCTTCCATTTTGCCATCATATTCCCTAAGTTTCCTGAAAAGAGCCTTGAAACTAAAAAAAATACATGGAAATCATAATAAAAGTTCTTAAAAAAAAAGTAAAACCTTTGAAAAAGCATTTGAAATCAATGGTGAAAAGTGGTCAAAATCAGGTGTTATCACGTACCCACCTGATCTTCTGTAAATTCTCCAGACAATGGATCACCCTCCGTCAAAGTCGGTTCCTTACTCTGATTCGCAGCAGTGATACTCTGTCTTCGTACAACAGCTTTGTCCTTTTTCATCTTAATTAATAGCGGGCATCTATCCTTCTCGTGAGTAAGTCTTTGACATGCGTAACAGTGTTTGTGAATCCTCTCGAAGTCATACCACACCGTGGTAGTTTTACCCGTTGGGAGGATTACCGCTTTGGATCTTCTTACTAGCCTTGAGATGTCGAAATTAACCTTTACCCGCACGTAATCTTTGCTCTGGGGTTTCTCAAGATCAAAGGCAAGTTCTTTGACTTCACCTACTAGATCAGCAAGGTCGTATATAGCCGCCTCTATATAATTATTCACCAGTATATTGCAGATCTAGATCCACACTGGCATGAAGTAAAGATAGTCCTTAGGAAGCTTTTCCATTCAACAATCTATAACAATAGACCACTCGTTATAGGTACACACCCTTTTCCTCAAAACCTCTTCCAAATCGTGTTCATATTTTAATATGAACTGAAACCTATCCTTCGTCAAGGCTACTCCTCTTACTTGATCATACACTTGCCACTTCCTTGGAATGTCCAGAATGAGATCCGCCATGTTTTGACACTCTGGGCTGAGAGTTCTTCCTATTTTACTCATTACATTCCTCTCGCTTGAGCAGTATTTCAGATAACTGGGCATGATGAACGGAGTATCATCCTCTTGCTCCAGTGATAAAGCCATCAGATTTTATCTATGTTCGCCATGCTTTCCCTCTCCCTTGTACTTCGATAACTAGATCGACAGTTGATATTAGGGTTTTTAGAAAGTTTGGCGGCGCTGTAGTGTGTGAGCCAAAACTCGCACAACCAAAATTTGTTTAAGGAACTTTTGGGGATCGAAAATTTATTTGGTTTTTCTCAACAGAACTCAAGATCAAAAAAAGGTTTTTATTGCTGTGAAATTGCTTAGGTCTTATTGCTCTCGAGTTGTGAAAAGTTACATAATAAATCCAATACATTGACTATGTATACTAATTCTTTAAACCGCCTAGCCAAAAATCTCGGGAAAGATTTTCGGAATGTTTCCTTATCGCCTCGTGCGGCCGCCGCCATAACCCTTTGCCTAGGGTTTTTACGGGCTTTACATATTCGCGGCTAGGCCCACTTGCTGTTTGAGTTTGCTCACTGAAGCGTCACGTCGCGACCTAATTCATTAAGACGCGGCTCGGCCCAACTCATCGAGGCCCGGCTTGGCCCAATCCTGTTGAGGTGCGGCTTGGCCCATATCTCACGATACAGCTCGGCCCAGTGGCTCCCTCACAGGGCTTGCCCAGTCCAGCTGCGATGATGCTCAGCTCGGCCCATCTCTTCTCGCACGCAGCTCGGCCCGATTACTCCTTTGCACGGCTCAGCCCAATTACTCCTCTCCCTTATGGATTCGGCTCATTCGATTGTCCTTTGTTGTGGCTCAGTTTTCCTAGGTACTTAGCCATTTTTGAGATGGTTAAAATGTTTGAGACGGGAGTGACGAGGTTTGTCATTCTTGGTCACAGAATTAACCATCATGCTGAGGAATAAGGGAGAGACGATGCTCTTTGGGGACTCCTTACGTGTTGCTTTCACCGGGGCGTGCCACGAAGAGTAATAGAGGCGTTTTCTCGATAATGCCGAGCTACGACGATGCGCTTTGTAAAAAGATGCCGAGTCGTTGAGGAATGAATTTGGCGAGCCGTTTTTGCAAAGATGATGTCAAGCCGATTAACGATGAGGCAAGGCGTTTTTGCAAATATAATGCCGAGCCGATTAACCGACGAGGCGTTTTTCGTAAAAATTGTGCCGAGCAGAATAAACGACAAGGCATTTTTCGTAGAAGTGATTCCGAGCCGATTAGACGATGAGGTATTTTTGCGGGGATGATGCCAAGCTGATTAAACGACGAGGCGTTTTTTGTAGAAATGATGCCGAGCTGAATAAATGACGAGGCGATTTTCGTAGAGGTGATACTGAGCCGATTAAACGACAAGGCGTTTTTGCGGAGATGAGGCCAAGCCATGTATAATGATAACGACAAGGCGTTTCCGCTTTCTGAGGCGCGTGCAATGGATGCACCCTGCTACTGATACGTCTCTCAAGGACGCTGTTGCGGATTCCACGCGCTGTATTTAAAACTTTGCTGATTTCCGAGGTTCATGTGGACCCCACGTGCTTCGAAGCTTCTATATAAGGAGTCTTTGTCTTTCATTTTCCTCATAACTTCAGTTTCTCAAACTCTCACAAAGGTAGCTCTCCCTTCTCTCTTCTTTCTCTCTCTAACTTATTTTATTTTCCAGCTAGGGTTTTTGTTATTTTCGCTGAGTTCCCGTCGTGACGCCAACATCGTACGGCGACCTGATACGCACCGTCGACCTTTCTTCCGACGAAGCTCTTGGATCTGCGCCCTAAGTTACGAGCCGATCTGTATTTCCTGTAACTCTTGTGTTTGTATGTTAAGATATGCCGAGCTGATCTGGAGACTCGTTGGATACTTTATTAAACTATGAGCTGTGTTATCCAAACAACGAGGTGACACATTCGACGAGATGTTCTCGTGCGCATTCTATTGGTGACGAAGCGTCTGTCGTGCCAAGCCCCTCTGGTGATTGCTCTGTTGACGGTGAGGTGTCTTGTCCGACAAGCCCTCCAGACGCTTATTCAGCAGAGGGCAAGGCATCCGGTCGGACGAGCCGTTCTCGCAGCAGTTCTGTGAATGATGCAGTGTCTGCTTCGAATGATTCTCCTTGGGATTCCGCCTCCCAACGGGATGAAGATATAGACTTTGCCAAAGTGAAAGCTGAAGAGGAAGCTTTCCCATTCGACACAGTCGAGGCAAAATTGGAATTAGAACGTTTAATGGCGAGCCAAGGCGCATCATCTTCCGGGAAGAGAAGGTTTGCCAAGTGAAGAGGCAGAAACCCGATCCACCTGGTTCCACTTTATTGTCTCCGGAATCTCTTGAAGAGCTGCGACATCATTTTGGGATTTTTGAAGCGGTTGAGTTCGTTCTCCCAAGAAAGACTGATCGAGCCGATTGTCCCCCTGCGAATCATTTTCACCGTGTACGAGGCATTTTTTGACTTATGCTTCCTATGGTTTCCGATCTCCGAAGTTATCCTCGAATACTTGTGGAAACATGGGATCTCGATAGGACAGATTTTGCCGAGGGGTTTACGGCAATAGTCGGTATACTGGTCCAAAGTTTTGAATGTGGGATCGACATTGAGCATAACCACCTACTCAACCTGTCGGAGATCCGCAAAGCCTCGAAAAAACAAGTTTTACATATCCAATAAGTCAAAGCGTCGGGTCATTCGTGGCTTCCCGAGTAAGGATAGTTTCTGGGCTGATTACTTCTTTTTTGCCCAAGTTAACGATGCATCGGTGGGCGAGGGCTTCGTCTGCAGAGTCAAGACTGATTAGGGACCACTTGGTAGCAGACCCGAAGCCTTTTCGGCTCGGATCCTTCTTATATCTTATCTTACTTTTCTAATCATGTATTTTTTTTGTGCAGTTCGGAACAACCTTCCTCCAATTTCTGATGACTTGTTTACCATTCGAGACGCCTTAGCCGCTAGGAAGGTCAACGGGAAGCACCTTTTTGTTGCAAGAGAATGGAGAGGGCTCGTTCAATCTTAGCCGGAGTTTCTATTGACTCAGAGTCTTCCGATTCATTAACCGATACGAGAGAGAAGATGGTTTTGAACACCTTCAGATAGCGAAAGAAGAGGGAGGCCGAGGAGGCTGAGAGGCGAGCAGCAGAGGCCTCCAAACGAAGTGAGGAAAATGCCTAACAGACTGGCGAGACCGACAAACTTGACGAGGAGGCATTGGCTCGAGATGAAACGGCGGACCCTGAGAAGACGGGCGACGAGGCGGACGCAGCCAAGGAGGGTGAAGTCAAACAGGGAGAGTTTGTTCCCGAGGTGTCCACCAAAACTCCGAGCATGACCAGGTATCCTTCTATGCCCCCTGCCTCGGCAGTACTTGCACTTCCTCAAACAACGAGGCTCGATGCTTCTAATCTCGTGAACCACGAGGCGATGAAACTCCGACGATCCGCCGAGGAGAAGACTAAGGTAGTATCCTCCGCCAATGACGAGGTCCCGAAGAAGAAGCAGAAAGTGGTCTCCAAGAAGCTTGTCATCGATGATGCCGAGGCCTTTGCGTCTCTTTTCTTGAAGGTCAACAATGCCAACTTTGGCGGTCGAAGTCATATGCCGCAATGGCGCAACGTGGGACGAAGGTACGGTTCCTCGTTTTATCTTAACATTATTCATGCGCTGGAACTTGATTTTAATCTTTTGTTTTTCTTAGTTTTATGCTGCAGTAATCGAGATGTTGGCCAGCTATGAGGCCGATGCGCTTAAGGACGAGCGTCGCCTTGAAAAAGCTAGACACGAAGCTGCGATTTTTAAGGCCGAGCTAGAGAAGATCTCGGAGGAGAATACAAAAGCGTTAGCCCGGATCGAGGAGAAAAGAGTCCTCAAGGCGGACTATGACAAGATAGCAGTCCGCTATGAAGAATCGCGGGTGAGAAAGAACAATGAAATCACTTAACTTGAAGAGGCATAACACAGCGAAAGAATACCTCTTTGAGTCACAAGTAAACATTGCCCGAAAGGAGGCCAAACGTGAGGTGGCTGCTAAGTTCCAGCAGCGATTATCCGAGATTGAGAAGAAAATGACAGAATTGGAGAAGGCCAAGAGGGATGAAAACGATCTCGGCCAAATTAGGAGCAATCTTGTGCTCATCGGCGATCTTCGGAAACAAGATGCCAGTCTCGACGCCAAAGAGGAGAAACTGAAGAGCTGGGAAGCCGAGCTAATTAGAGCCAAGGAGGTGTTTAAACGCTCTGCGACGGATCTGAGAGAGAAGTTGGTTGTCTTGCCAGTTTCCCCGGATTCCTTTGACTTTCGTCTGGGAAACGAGCCGCTGGAGGTAACTGCCGCTTCAGTTGGAGTCACGGATCCGACGGGATCTAACATCAACACCCCGAGGGCTAATGATCTCGCAGCCGAGGGCGTCTCTGACCCGCACCGAGAGGGATAGTTTTTTTGTGTTCTTGCTTATGTACTGATCGTCTTTTGTACCTTGACGGCTTTATCCATACTCATCGTCTTGTTTGTTTCTATTTTTTGAACCTTGTGTCTTGACGGCTTTATCCATTTGACTATCAAACTCAAGTTTATGGTGGATTTATCTGGTAGCGATTTTGTTTAGCTCTTTTTAGAATTGCTGGGTTTGCCTTAGTGATTTCGTGGAAATTATTTGTTCAGAAATTTTATTGAGGAAAGCTCTTGTTGAGGCGAGCTGTTTCTAGGTAGTTCGCCTAAAGCAGCTAGGGACGCTGTCGTCTTCTCCCCTGGGCGAGCAGTTTCAGGAAATATCGATGGAGTGTCTTAAATAAAGACGAGTCGTTTTGATACTTTAAAGATTAAATGAATCCTTTTTAAGTTGTAATATGTCTAAAGACAGGTGTTCGCGAGCTGGGGAGTATGTTTTAGTCTGGATAGACGATTAGGTAGTTGCTTTGATTTGGTTACCCAATTTTTGAAAAGAGAACATATGTTTTTTATGATGTTGACTGTTTATGCCGAGGCGTTGAGTCATAAGGGGTAAAGTATGACGAGGTGTTTAACTTTGTTCGGTTTTTGCTTACCGAGGTGTTAGACTTGGATTTCTTCTTGCTGAGGTAAAATTCCAAG